AGAGCGCATCTCAGCCCCGGCGGCACCGCGCCCCGTGGAGAGATAGTGCAACCAACCTCTGCTGCGCTGTCATCGCGCGACGCAGCAGAGGCTGATTGCACAACCTCTCCAAGGGGCGCGGTGCCGCCGGGGCTGAGATGCGCTCTGATAGCAACTCGAAACTTAAAAACCCTGAGATGGGGAACGATAAAAAAAACGGACGAACATAACAAACCCGTCGATTTTGTGTGGTTTTTCAGAAAGCCGTAAAATGCTTCGCGTGCCTCCTATTGTTCTGCATTTTGTTGATATATTGTTTTCCGATGATGCTGAGCAATTTTCTAATCTAAACCATGCCCTTAAACACAATATTAAAAAAGTTAATTACGCAAAAATAATTACCAACTCAATTATCTCGGACATTAAAAATGTTCTTAAATGGGCCCCTAGCCCAGGACCAAAACTCCACAAGCCTTTTTTTGTTGCGATGAGTAGTTTTCGCAGGAGCGATTTGGCCTGCGTTCTCCGAAACACCCTGTGTACATCTGTTCAAGTGAATGATTGTGAATATCTTTACATGCTCGGTAAAAATGGTGGTGTGATAAGGGATGTGACATGCAAAAGACCGAACTTCTTGGACTGATCGTAAGACATTTCAAGTGGACTCAATATAAAGAAATAATTGACTGTTTTTTGTTTGCGGGAAAACACTTTGGGGGGAAGGGGAGGGGGGGGGGGAGTGCAAACGGGGTCATGTAGGATGTTCTAAATTTTTTTTTTTAACGAGCAACTGAACATGGAGTAGCCGGCCATGCCTTCACGGCAGCCAACATCTATAATTTTTTTGTCATTTAATAAAGAAAGAAAGATAACACCCAGAAAGTGGAAGCTTTTGCATTTCACACCTAATCTATTCCTCTCATCTTCATTAGTTTTGTATATTTCAGATTGGAACGCGCTCCCAGAATCTGTGGCAACAGAACGTGACGTGTTGTTGTTAGAGAATTGACGATTTATTGTTGAATTAGTTCCAAGATGATAATATGTTTCTGCTTGAATGTGCTTGGCATTGTGTACATGACTTGAGTCAATCAAGGGCACCTCTGATATTGTTCTTCATTGTTTGATCGTTTTTTTTTAACCCAAAAATGTTATATACATTGTGCTTGTGTATGATTTTTTCGTTTCTTTACCAATTCTCGCTTATGTAATACGTCCGATAGGATGTATTTGAGCAAAAGTTGATCGATTAACAATTAAAAAAAAGACATTTTCGCAAATAATTTAATTAGTGTGGCCTCTAATTGTAATCGCCGAGAATATCACTATAGTAACATAGCCCGTAAAACCAATAAATGCAAAGTTAATGAAGATATTTCGGTTAGTTAGTCAGCGTACCGTGACAGTTCTCGCCTTATCTAATGTCCGCCGAGCGTGATAAATACGTAGTGGAGAAAGAAACCTGACTTAACCTCATCCGCTATAAAAAAAAAAAGAAAGAGGAAAATTAACATTACGTATAGCCCTTTCCCATAACCGACTTCCGGGCGCTGCCGTCTTTGCTTACTGGGCTGTGCAAGGTGTTCTGAGCGTGCACTCTCTTGCACGAAATATGAGATACCGCGCATGCATCCACAGTCATCGCTTAGGCGAAAAAGGCCGGGACGGCCTTTTTCGCTTGAGCGATAAGCGCTGGAAAGGTCTCCGGGGACGGACTGGGTAAATAAATGCAGTTTTGTCTTGTTCTTATATAAACAAATCCCACTAAACATACTTCCTTCTTTTTTTTTTTTTTTCTCCTGGGGAAATAAAGGGGGGGGGGGGGGGGAACTAAGGTGTGTGTATGAGTTAACGGGACATCATCGTATATTTTTGGCGGAGAAGAGGGTTGCAAGCGCTCTACGTCGGAGAAAATCAACAAAATGTTGAGTCACTAGTATTCCAAAGCGAAATAAGTAGTCTAAACTCAATTGACAACTCAAATATAGAAGAAAATAAGATACTCTACTGTATTGGTTCTTCATTACGGGAGTACCCTGAAGATGGCGAAGCTTCTTTGAGCTTTGGTCACAACTTTATACATTTACTGCAATTGATTACGGATACAGGTAGTAATGTATGCAGTGTACCAATGGCTTGGCAAGGATCAGTGGCGTCACTAAGGGAAAGGGGGGGGGGGGGGGGGGGGGTGGAGAGGGCGCGGGCGCGGGTACGGCGATCTACCGCCTCGGGTTCCGCTGACCCTAGTGACGCCACTGGCCAGGATTTTGAACCTGGAAGGGGTGTTAAGCATTTACGTGAGCTTCCCAGGTTGTGTGAACCATGGTTTTTCGTACTTTACACAGTAAATTCTGGAAAAGGGGGAAATAAACAATTTTAAATTAAACTACATCTGGGAGAGGAGAGGAGGGTGTATGGATAAATTACATCACTCCGTTCACTGAGTCTACATTCGTGAAAGGGCTTTCGCGAGAGAGTATCCAGCTCTTTACAGTCGCTAATCTGTGCTGTCTACATTAAAGTAACAATAAATGCTACTCAGTCCTTTGCTTCGCAACGGTAGATGATGTTTCTTGTTTAATATTCAAATTTTTGTTTTTAATTATATATATATAACTGTTATTGTGTGTTGTTTGTGTGAGAAGCTATTAAGCAAATACTTTAACGTACCAATATCTCACTTATGATGACGGTGCGCTTTTTTAGTTGAGATCATGGAAGTCATCACTCAGCCCGTCTGCGAGAGAGTGTGCTTCGGTAATTTAGTTTTTCCGAGGAATGAACTCCGTTTTAGTGGTGATAGTTCACTTGAATTCGTTTATTTACTCCCATCGTGCACATGGGTGATGAAGACAGGGAAAAACGCTGTATGAGTGCAGCTTGACGAAGCTCCTACCTCCTACTGGCAGATCGGCCGACAGGAAAAATATAATACTAAATGAAAGGACGGAAGAAACACTCAGCGCTATGTGGGAGAAAATAGTAAGAGTTTGAGATGAATATTTTGCGTATTGTTTTGTTATTAAGTGTACCAAAGCCAAAATGTTGGTCTTTTAAAAAGTTTAGTTCTGTTGGTAGTGTATGCTGTGCCATTTGGAGCCCTTAGTTTGTTCTAGGACGAGGTACTTTCAAGGATCCAGCACTACGTTTTTGAGACTTAGTCTAGAAATTCGTGGTAATGGCTGGTTAACACATTAAAGGGATGTCGCGTATACTGTAGCAAGCTAATAATTGAAATATTCTTGTATTTTTATTACTTTATGTTTGTAAAAAAACATGGTTCCGTGTGTGCACAACACGACGTATTAGCTACGATTCGAATTGCTATCTTTTGCAAGAAATGCAGTTTATTAAGGTTTCTACTGGTCATGGTTCTCCCCACTAGGCAACAGTATGATATGCGAGAACTGAATATTGAATTATAAATTAAAAGTTTTACACTAGATAGTAATATTTGGCTATGCTTATACAGAATACCTACAACATTCGAGAGTTTAAGTATAAGGTTTTGAATATAGGAGTCCCATAACATATGTTCGTGAAAAATTACACCTAAAGTTTTAACAGTACTTACAAATTCGACTTCTAAGGAGTTCAATATTAACTTAGCAGTAGCATTGCACACTGTACCTTTTGATTTAAAAATAACGGCTTTTGTTTTACTTTCATTTATTTTTAATGAATTGGAAACAGTCAACGAACTAAGCTTCTCTAGGCAAATGTTTGCATCGGCAACTAACCTATTAATATTGATCCATGGAAAAAAAATGTACTGGTATCGTCGGCATAAATGACAAATTAGGTATTACTTGCAATGGCAACGATATCATTTATAAACAAGCGAAAAAGAATTGGTTTCAAGACACTACTTTGAGTGTCTTGAGACTCTCTCCGTACAGGTTTCAATAGTGAAGGAAACCCATTTATTTCAGCTGTTTGCTGCCGACAGCATAAATAGCTTTCAACTAGTGCAAGAGAATAACCGCGAATTCCATAAAAAAAAACTTAGTTTTTCTAGTAGAATTTTATGATTTAGTCGGTCAAAGGCTTTCGAGAAACCAATAAAAATCCCCAACGTTAGAAGTTTGTTTTGAATATTGTTTAGGATAATTTATTTTTGCTGTAGAAGAGCTAGTTCTGTGGAGCGACCTTTTCCAAAGCCATATAGAGAATCAGTGAGTATCGCGTTTATTTCACATAAATTATTAAGTCTGACATGTATAATCTTCTTTAAGCCTGTAGAAAAAACGCGCAAGATTGAAATCGGTCTGTCATTGCAGAACAAGAACAACGTTTCCAAGTTGCACACACACAAGGATTCATAATTTTTAGTTCTGGTCTGTCATGAGACTGCACTACCTTTCTTACTTACATACGACTATTCCGCCACCGCGCCTTGAGCGGAGATTTAAATAAAATGTCGTATAATTATCAGTCCAAAACATCTGATTTTTGGATAAACCGCGTCTCGGTCAGTATAATCGCGTAAAAAGAAAAGGAAACCAAGTCATTCAGAAGAATACCAAGCTCGTCACTTTTATTACGCGCGCCGACCCCACGTTCCAATGAAAAACAGAAAATGGCTTCTTTGTCTCGTTGGCGGACTACCGTTGGCGTACTGAAGCAGGTAACAAGCGATCCGACAATCATTACGCACGCTTCGGGTAACACGGGAAACAGAGAGCCCATTACGCGGACAAACATATTACGAAGACTAATACCGGCAGACAAGAGCCCACGCGCATCCCTTTCGGTACACACTCACGCCGAGATGAAACGCGTACCCTGCAACGTATTAAGCAACCCCGCTACTTTTCGACCCGATTGGGCCAGCGGGTCGCTGGATAGCCTTACGCCTGCAACCATACAAGCAGCGCGACAGCCATTACGGAAGCTTTTACTCGTCGGAGATGGAGCGAGGGAAGCGCGGCGCCGATCACGATCCGTCTCCATCGAACGCGAGGAGCCGGTCGGTCCGGCGCAGGGAAGATAACCTGGATTCGGCGCGGCGTCCTCCTCACCTTAACGACTTCATTGACGATGACCAGGTTGATTGAGAAATGCTCCGGTGCTTCGAGCGCCTCGGCCGCCGAGTCTCCGACCTCGTTCCTGCAAGACACGGTGAAGACCGGGAATCAGTGGAGACGCGATGAGGGGGGTATAAGAGACGGCGACCGCGGCGGACATCTTTCGAAGCCCAAGAGATGCCGACGTTTGATCACCTTCGATGGTACTTATATTATACACGCGACCAAAAGCATCGTTGTGGGGCTCGGCTTTCCACGATCGGCCAAACCATGGACATAAGAGCAAGGTCAGAGTGCCGACTTCGACGGTGGTAGTAATTGGGCAGCGGTCAGGACTGCTAGTATAAATACGCAGAAGCCAATTTGCAGACACTGTCGGAGGTGTGTTTCTTCCTTGTTCGGTCGCACAAAAACTACACGTTCGAAGATAAACAGATATGTCGAAGCAAACACATACGCTTGGAACATTCTCGAGGCTTGTACGCAGAGAGTTCTGTCACCGTGTCTCCAACGCACACCGCGTGTGTTTTGTATGGCGTATGAGGAGCGTGACTGAGATTTCGAGAACGGGTTGTGCTCCTATAGCCTCCGCTGCGCTTTTTAGACACACACCGTCGAACTTGTCGTCGCAACTGACGATGGTGGGTCCGGGGTCACAGCTCGGGACGCCACGGCGAGGCAAATCCTGGTCGGGACGTCACGAATTGAAAAAAAAAAAAAAAAAAAAAGAACAGCACCGAAACATCCCGGTGTTAATGGACCATTCCAATAACCGTATTCTGCGTGCTGATCTCTGACCGCTGGGCTGTGGAACGCCTCTTCAACATACGCAGTATAGCTTTCTGTCGCGTATAATGTCACGCACCGCGAATGCGATCACGGCTCAGGGACTCGGCATTTTGCGCTGGGGCTACGAAGGCTGGAAAGGTGTATAGAGAGAGGCTCGAAATGGGCGCTGGTATAATTACGGCACGGAATGATAGGAAACGGGACCGATTAAAACGTAACTCGGTTAAAACGCGTTACGTTTTAACCAAGTTACCGTCGCACGGATTTAACGTTAAAAGATAAAAAGAGACCAAGATGTGAACACGACAACACAGATTATAGACCCCCTTTAAAAAAAATATGCCGACAGTGAAAAAAAGCTAGATCTGTCTCAGAACGCTCGGCAGCGGACGCCATTTTAAAAGATGTTCCCGGTTTGTTCACGTCGCCGGTGTACTCGTGTTGAAGTGAGGTGGTCGTGGGTTAAATACAACTGCTGCTTTTTTTTTTTTTTGTTTTGTTTTTTTATCACGGGCTGAGAAATTATTTTTCGTTCGCCTCGGGCGTATGAACGAGCGACTGAGTGATACCATAAATTTATTAAAAGCGAGGGCGTGTTAATTCCTCTAACGCGGTTCACATGTTTCGGTGATGCGCTCACGGTCACCTTGTTGCGAAGAATAAGTTAGTGTTCGTCGCTACACGTGTTGAAAGGCTTGTAGCTGCATGATCCGGCTATTCTATTGGGTCTATTCCCGATCAGTTGCGAGCTTATGTAACACGCAGTATCGGCGACCCGTTGACCACAGGCTCAACGATCGACATGCGCTGCCTTTGCAAGTTCACTAGCTGGCAAACTCGCCAGCAGGTTGCGGAGGCTAAGAATAAAGTGGAAGCTCCTCCCACCTCTTTCTACTTTTGCAGAGCGAACGCTGAAGAGGAGGTCGCCTCATCTAAAAACGCTCGCTCTGCTATAGTGGAAAGAGGCGGAAGGAGCTTCAACTTCACTCCTAACCTGTCACCGTCTATGGAAGCGGTGTTGCGAAGGCAGTATTCCTTTCCGTTTGTTTGGATGGCGCTATCATCTGTACGGATCGGTTGTGTAAAATCTAAATTTGATTATACCGCAGATCTCATTGGTCTGTTTTTAACCGATTATAACATTTACAGGCACAACGCAAAACGTACATGCCTCCAAATTTGTTGCTAGAAATTTTAATTTATGTTCACTTAGTCAAATTCCCGACCAAATAATTTTCACGCTTTGTCGAACGTAGTTGTTAAAACGAACAATCCGTGGAAAGCAATTAGTATACGTATCAACTACAAAATATTCACTCTGAGCGCTGTAATTAATCAGCGGTATAAATCTGCGAGACGAGCACGCGAGACCGTATATTTACCTATCTTCCACGTCGACGAAGGCAACTACCTACATGGATAAAGCCGTATTCAAAACCATAGCCGCACACTTTTCATCAGTAGCAGTTATAACTCTATTTCTAGTTTATCACCTCACTCGCATATCTCCGCGTCAAGCTGGCCTTGCCACGTCGAACGGGCGGTCGCCACGCCGATCGCGGCCGACTTTTAGTCCGGACATCACTGCAGAACAAGACAAAAACTTCCTTCACTAATGTGGGCAACGAATCTACTCTCCCTCTGACTTAAAAGAGAGAAAAAATCCCAATTATTGTGATTTGTATTGCAACAATAGGGAGTTTTCGTAGAAGCCATCGGCGCGCAGGCGCAGTAGCGGCTTCTTTGTTGCGGAGGACTTGGCGGAGGGGGAAACGCGATTCACGAAAACCCCTTATTAGACAGTCTTAGTATAGCGGTGCTGGCCCTTACGTGCGCAATACGAAACAGCATAGCGCAAGCCAAAAACAACCTGTTGGGACCGATTTTAGGCGTGCGTTACGTTGCCGAGAGAACATCGCGTACGATCTTTTTAATTAAATTTGCCAGAGCCGTAGAATTCAGCGTGCTTATAGCGTCACCATGTTCCTCAAAAGAAATATTGAAAATGAAGACGTTTCCAATAATTTTATTTCAAATTAAGCTAAGCCGGAGATGAATGGTCAAGCGCGCTTTTCTGCGGGGGGGGGGGGGGGGGGGGGGGGGGGGGGGGGGAGGACGAGTATACGTAGCCGAATTCGATCACGGAGCCTCCGTCAATCGTCCCGTGGAAACGGCACCTTTTATCAATGCTATCGCGGAAAGAAATCTATAACCTACTGATGTCCAGTGCATAGCGACCACTTCGACGATTTTTCGAAGAGTCGTTCGTTCGTCGGAGAAGAACTCCGCGAAGAGACTTGGCGTTGAGCAGATCGCAGAATTCACGCACATTGCGAGCGGGGAACATTCTCACTATGCACTCGTTCAGCTGCATGGCAATCTGCTGCGATCGCGGTAGGTCCCGAAAAGAATATCTGAGCGCTGAACACCACGCAATTTCACATAACACTGAACTTCGCGAACACCATGTCGCCTTGCTGCGCAGTCGACGTAACCACCATCTTGACACTGGTGCTCTCGGTGGGCCCGAGATCTCTCGAGAGCTTCTCACAAAGCTTGCTAGCCCGCAAAGCCAAAGCTTGCTATACTTCGTCTCATCCTACCATGGACTAAAGGCTAAAGCCACGGGCCGCCAGGTCCAATCACGTTCCACGCTAGACTATGACAAGCTAGCATCGATTAGGTTCGAACGAATAATGCTCTGAATCCCAAAACGCCGCATCATTTTTATAGCTTCGACACTGCAAAGAGCCAGCACGTCGTGGTTTTCTTTGCAAAGTAAAATTGTTGAGTCACTCATTGCTCGATCCGAACCACTGTCCGCCCATTCCCATCAGTGATCCAAGACGCGGGCACCGATGCGCGCATCGAAGCGAAATACGACGTAATGTCTAAGCTGCTCGTGATTGGATCCGGCGGTTCGTAGCTTCTGCCTTTAGTCCATCGTAGGGTGAGACGGCGTATAGCCCGCAACGCAAAATCCCCAGCGTTGCGTCCGTACGCAATACGCCAACCGTTCCATTGCGTTCTGCGCGTGCGCAGAACACAATAGAACGGCGAGCGCAGAACGCAATTTGCCCACGCAAAGCTTTAGCGTACGGTCCACTAAAACTGCCTATTGAAACGTGCCCAGACTGGCATGAGCGACGCGGTATCCTTCAAGATGGCGTCGGGGCTAGTTGCCTTTACGTGCGACAGATGGCGCTCCTTCATCTAAAAGGTCTATATCCAATCTGAGACTCTTGCATATATTTGTTTTATGCGTTTCACAGTCTCAGTTTTTTTTTTTAATTTTTTACAAAGAAGAACAAGTCAGCTTGTTAGTTGGTTCACATCGTTTTTACCTTTTCTTTTGTTCGCATTAATTTGTAATGTAACTTTATATGATCTAATGGACATAAAGAAATTGCAGATGGAAGGTTCATTGCAAAAGAAAACACAAAACAGAGAAATAAAGAGAAAAAATTTATCTTATACCGAACGAACGAAACATAAGAGAAAATGGCACTACAATCTGCCTCGTTAATACCTGAACACATCCGTTTCTTCCCGGAGTCGTCAAGAATAACGAGATAAAAAATGTATGTTTTATACAGGTCGACCACGAAGATGTCGGTAGTGTATCGGGGTAATCAGGCATATTAGCGGGGCTCATATTATTAACGAGACATGACGGTACATACTTTCACATTCCATGCACGGAGACCGAACGCCTTTTCACCGTGTTCCTATTCCAAGGAGCGGATTCGATTTCCATCGGCGGCCCCGTTGCCGTTGGCCTATAGCCTCGTTCTTGATATCTTGACAGTTTATCCGCCTGACCATCGACGATGCCGCAGGCTGGTTTGCCCGCCACGCAGAGGTGTTGCACCGGCAAAGAACCTACTTAGCGCAGCGAGGGCGTGCTGTCTCTCTAGGGTGTAATTAATTATTCGTTAACTGAACAAAAACTCTAAATGCTACTTGTTTGTTGACCAAACATTATCACACCGAGCCACACTCCTAGATTTTAATCTCAGTGTGACAATTTTCCGGTTACGCCAATGATAGAAATTACGTCTTACGTCTATGTTTCTTTTTTTCTTTTTAGCAATCAAGATTAAGTTGTTTTTCTTTTTTTTTTCCACATCGAGTATAGAGCAAAAAACGCTTTTTCTTTCCGCGTACACTCAGGATATATACAGTCCAGCTTGCGACTTATGAATCTGACCTGGCCATAGAAAGGGGGGGGGGGGGGGGGGGGGTCTCATTACGGGTGGTCATGCACGTATATGTTCGTGCATGTTGTACTTTGTATTTGAGATTGACTTTGCAGAGTAGAAGAAAAAATGTCGGTGTGAACTATACATTTATGTTATTAAATATTTCTTTCTGTAATGGCCCACAGGAAGGCGGTATACACAAAAATAAATAAAATTAATTTCTTTCTCACTTGTGCCCCTTCACATAGGCGTTCACACACAGACATATATTCATTTCTACAGAAACAGTACGTTCTAAATTCGAGACAAGCATGAGTAGTTTATAGAAACGAAGTCAAGAAGTGTAGTGGTTTGAAATTTAAACATTCGTAGAAGGCAAAACAACTAGTTCATCATAAGTACTAAAACGAACAACTAATTAATTGGCTGTAATAATTCAGTTAGCTAATTAGTCGATGCTGTTTTTTAAGGCTGCCGTACTCTGCGCAACACCCTTGTTTTTCTCTCCCAATCTCTTACAAGTCCTCAATAAACCTGTAGCGGCGTTCAAGTGGTTCCCCCAGGTCGTAGGTGACCCTTAGAAGGAAATATGTATTGATGACGTCATTTAATAGCCACTCGCTCTGTCCGGTGTGAAGATATGATCGCCTAATAGTCCACTTGATGCGTCGAACGTGTTAATGAGCCCTCCGAAAAGTAAACAAAACTTCATTGCAATGCGGCTAGCTCTAGCTTAAACTTATATCAAGGTCAGAAAAAAAAAAAAAAGCGAGCGCATTTACGGTTGGGCTAAACACAAATATAAGTCTTCTTTCTAGGTGCCCTGTTCCGTGTTGGGGGTGGATGGGATTTCGCACTTCGTGGTGTCGACGACTTCCTCAAATATTTCGCTAGGAAAATACATCTCACTCCGCGCAAATCAAATTACCTGGGCGCAGACACGTTTTGCGCAGTTCGAACGGCTGTATGCGCCGCAGCCTCAGCGTTTTATTCATTGAATTGGGGAGGTGTGGCAGGCGCCATCTGCCGTGGACGTAAAGCTACCTTTGTGAACATACTCACTGCTCGAACGCATTTAAACGCCGCGTTTGCTTTCGAACAGTGAGCAGAGATAAAGCAGCTTGCTTTGCATTTATCTGACTTCATCCTTCGAGAGGAAGGAAGTTTGAGGTCTTGTGGCGTACCCGTTGAGCGAGCTGGGGGCGTCATCTCCTTCCGGTGTAAGAGATGTCTGCTCCGCGACGCTCTCCGGAAGGCTGTTGTACTCCTCGATGACTCGGTCCAGGAAGTCCAAGGAGGCCCGGACGTCGTCCGTCCTGTGGAGAAACCGGGAAGAAAAATGTTTAGCAAATTAGCGGATGAAGACACAAATCGGCAGGGTCCTTCTTATCAAGATCGTTGCCAATCTTTCAGACCGGTTAAACCGAGGTCGTGTTGCGGGGATGTTTCTCTTCGCGTGTGTCGGGTCGGCGCTCGCGAAACGAGCCTGTTTTATATGTGTTTATAATATTTGTGTTTTATGATTGTTTGGTGTTGATCTTTATATTGACACAACCAGCATGGGCATTCACGTACCATCCTGGTTGTTATTTCTGCTTATTTTGTCGAGAAAATAAAATCGGGTGGTGCGAATCGTGTTATTAGTATTATGCTGCAGAAGCCGCACACGCTTAGCAACAAGGACGGTACAATAGCAGTTCAAATCACGTATTACTAGGCGGGATGCGTACAGTTTCTCCGCGATACTCAGCATTTGCCGAGAGCTTATCGTACTTGCGATGCCGCGTTACAGAGAACTACTATCCTCGAACTTGACCATGAAAATAAATGAACACTAAAAACGGGGAAAAAAAAGGTATACTAAGATGGGAGTTAGTTGCGAGTGAAGCAAAACACAAAACGAGCAATGGCGGATATCTTCCAAAAAGGAAAGTGTGTATGCGGAGGGGGGCTTTAAAGATTTTACGGTCTATTCCACTACCTCGAGCGTGAACACTCGCTCCTCCCTTCCAATCGTTTATAGGTTTCTGGGCCGTCGGCCGTCTCAAGTGGGATGCCGGGTGCGGTACGGACCACGCCGGCTCTCGGCACTTGAAATGCAAGTCGGCGTGTGCGGGCAGGCGTGTGCGGGCAAGCGTGTGTATGTACGCAGCATACGGGCAACGTTTTACTAGGGCGGGGTCCTCCTCCGAAAGTTTTTGGCCACCTGTTAAGAAAAAAACAAGAAAAAAGAAAAAAACAACAAAAAAACAAGGGCGAAAGACCGAGATTTCGGTCCGGTCTAGGGATGTCCCTGGAACAAGGGTGCCCCCCCCCCCCCCCCCCCCCCCCCCCTTTTCCCCCAAACGCAAAAAAAAATGTAGTTTATATTTTTTTCTTTCTTGCGAAAATGAATTATGCATCGCTGAACGTTCATTCTCTGTTCGCTAGCGGTCCAAACCGTGTGCCAAAGTTGCAGAACTTGCCGTTATCTCACTCAAAAGATATGAATGATATTTTGAAAATTTTAATTTTCAGAATAGATCTCTCTCGAAATTCGCGTCCCGATTTTTAGAAGGTCGGAACGTCTGCACAGTGGCAGAACAACTGACATCGTGGAACGTGCAAGTCATACCATAAGATACACCGAACGTTCGCGGCCAACGCTAGGAGCGGACGAGCCAATCAAACTGCGTCGAAAGTGCAACGTCACTGCGCTCATGGTCTTTTCATTGTGGGTGTGTTTTTTTTTTCTTCTACTCCAACCAAGCGCATGAAGTGTGCCGTGACGTTACGGTTTTCGCCCGCCATTGTGCAGGGATTCCAGAGCTGTTAACAGAGAGACCAGAATATCAACTGGCGCCTTTCAGCTACATGTATTCGAGAGGTCCATCGGCCGCCATTTTCCCATTGAAAATTTAAGAAAATTGTTTATAACTTTTTCAATAAGCTCTGGAACATTGGCACCTGGTTCGGACCATTAGAGCATACGTTTGGGCGGAAAATGAGCGTTCAAAAATGAAATTTATTTTTGCGATAAAAAAAAAAAGAAGTTTGTAAACCATCCATAGTAACCCTGAAACGTAAAAACAAGAAAAAAAAAAAAACAAGAAAAAAGTGGACAGGACAACGAAGTTTTTATTTTTCTGTACGTTTTTTTTTTTTTTTTTTTTTTTTTTTTTATAGTTCCTAGGGGGAGGTTTACTATGGATGCCATTCACCAGATCGCCTGCGTTTTTTTACCTTACTTCACAAATCTGTAATTTCTTTTTTTTTTTTGTCGGGGGGGGGGGGGGGGGGCATTTTGTATATATTAGTGTTCGAAATCGTAGCCCCCAACGATAGAAGTGGGAAATAGTAATCTCGAGCGCAGGCTCTTGTGAAGAGAGGGACTGCGCATAAAACGAGGATTTTGCTTTTTACATCACTTTTGGAGCTTGGTGCCTGTGCATTCCTGACGCTCTTGCACTACGATATGCGAAAATTTCTTAAAAAAAAAAAAAAATCAGTTTTGCAATTGTGTTATGGCGTCAGCATAAACAAACATGGCGGCGCCCATGGAACAGAGCAGATACTGTTCAATAGTCACTAACATCTTCAGAAACGCGGGGCGTGGAGGGCCAATCACGATTCCTGCACCGAAGGACCAATCACGTTTCCTGCATCGTGATTGGTCCTTCGGCGTCCTTCTCGGTCGATGTCACCGTCTCACTAGCTACGGGGAAAATGCTCGGAACTCGCCGCGCCCTCCGTCTATTTAAGCTGCTGTCGGTGACTCTTGGCTAGGAGCTCGAGCGATGGCGGGCGCTTTATTAGACTCGACAGAGCTTGCGGTGTGTAGCGAACACAAGGTCCGTGATCCTTTGCGTCGCCTTCCACGATCGAGTGCCGGTCACAGACTGGACGCGAGGTTTGCGTCAGCGATCGGCTCGGTCTCGTCTCCAGCCGATGCTTTCATTGATTGGACACAAGCCACCGCCAAATGCTGACGCAACGTTCGACTACGTGAGCCGAGCGCTGCGCGCCTGGGCGCAAACACTTCGTCGTTGGGGTCCCCGTGGGTTTGGTTTCTCAATTCTCAACGTTGCCGGAAGGGGCGAGACGGCTTGACCTTCCGTATACCATTTTCATTCACTAAGAATGGTCATACTCGGCACGCTTTAGTCGGCTCCTATGTTTTGCGAGGCAGTGTGAAGGCTGCGAAACGTATAGTGGAGCGCCTCGTCCCGCGACACGCGCATGCGCGCGATAAGGAGAGGGGAAAGGCAAACAACTGTCGCTTCACAAGTCTCCCTCTTGGGGAGACTTGTGAAGTGGATCTTGGATCCTGGGTTCGATTCCCTTTAGGGAACTTCGGAATTCTGTTTTTTTTTTCTTCTTCTCAGTTTATTTGTCCATTTCCCGCGCGTGCGCAGGTGCTTTGTGTCACAGATTAACCCCTTCCCCCCTCTCCTTTTGAAAAAAAGAATTATTGCATTTAAAACGAGTCGGAACCTCGAGATATCGCCGGTTGCGCGTCAACGTTCGACTTGGCTTCTAGTCGATTAGGTGGGTCAAGTTTGTCGTGTCCACTTCAGCTTACCAAGTCTATCCACGGCAGGCGAGTCGGTCGTCGTTTGGTCTTGGTGGACTCAGCCGAAATATTCTCTTCACAAAAACCCCATCGAGCAACATTGGTCAGTCGCCATGTTTTGGACGTCATTTCCAGCACGAAGCGTGTGACTGGTACCGAGTCCACGCCGAACGCTGATGCCTAACTCGTGTCCTGCAGTACGTGCTGAGAGTGCACGGCCAAATAATGGCGGCCTCGAATAAGGGACGCAGTGGCAAGTGGCAAGTCAGAACGCAGTCGACGTTAACGAGCGGAGGGCCCAATCAAGCAGCGACGAAAATGTAACGAGCGTCACGGCGTTAGCCGTATTTCTGTGCCTGCTCATCTGATCCAAAACGCGAGAGCATTCCTTTCGCACACGGCGCTCCGGCGGTGACATCACGCCCCCCGACTGCGCAGGCGCCGCGCCTCCTCCGGCTCCACGGCTTCCGTGACGAAGCCTCTGATATGACGCGTCGCTGCCATTATGGATTTATAGCTTGTTTCGCTGTTACGACAACACCGGCTTCGCTCCATGGGACAGTTAATGCTTTTGAATTAAAAAGGGAACGTTTGGAAGAAAAGCACACCCGATCGAAAAGACCATAAGCTATTCCTGATGGTCCATTAAGCTTTCCTGATGGTCCGTCAGACATCCTTGATGGTGTCTGAAGTCCGTCGCGCACATCCCCATCCATATCTGGAATACCATGTTAAGCGTAATGTGTTGGACTTTCTAACTACAATACTTACTTTGCCCTCCCACCCCTGCACGACCTTTTTTTAGCATTCATTGCTCGGCAGGTCTGATTTTGTCCACAGTTCCACTAGCTATTTAGTTGTTCGGCAACGAGATACTGATTAATGAAGGACAGCATGAACTGAGGTGATGTGGTTGTTACCAAGCTTACATCAGCTGCCCAAGCTACTTAAGTCTTAATTTTAATGCCAAAGCAATAACTGGTCCCATTGAGCGAAGCCGGCGTTATCTGATGTCTGTAGCAGCGAAAAACGGCCACTCAATACCCATTGACTGAGCGAAACGGCGCCTAAATTCCCATTGGCTGCAAAGCGGACGCGACTCAGAAAAAATAAGACCCGAAGAAAAGCACAGCAACGCAGATGCCTCGTCACGAAAGCCGGCGGGGCGCTCAAGGTCAAAACGGACGTGCACGAGAACTAAAACACAAAGCAAAGCACAGCAATGCAAATGCATCGTCACGGAAGCCGTGGAGCCGGCGGGGGTGCCGCGCCTGCGCAGTAAGGGGGGGGGGGGGGCGTGATGTCACCGCCGAAGCGCCGTGTGAAAAAGGAAGACATGGCATGCTGCTTGTAGGAATGCGCCGCGTGTAGAAATGCGAAAGCATTCCAGCACGTAAGCAGTCTTAAAGGACCCCTGTTTTAGAGCTCAGCTCTTAGGGGCCCGTTCCCGGCTTGAGCGGCGTCGGCGTAACCAAGGTCATCCCAAGGTCACGTAACCCCTCTCAAGGTCACGTGACCCCACATGACCCCCTGAAGGTCACGTGACCCCTCGAGGTCACGTGACCCCTCCCAAGGTCATCTCAAGGTCACGTGACCCCAAGATGACCCCACGTGACCCTTTGAAGGTCACGTGACCCCAAGATGACCCTACGTGCCCCCAAGTCACGTGACCCCTCTGAGGTCACGTGACCCCCGAGGTCACGTGGTCTCCTCCCCAAGGTCACGTGACCCCCAAGGTCACGTGACCCCTCCCAAGGTCATGTG